TATATATATATATATATTAAATTTTAAAAATGTGGTAAAGGAATGAAATTCAAGTTTAAATGTGAAATTTTAAACAAATTATGCGAACTAATTTTATTCAAAACTTTTAAGAAATTAACAAAAATATATGGCCGGCGAATTCACTGAAATAAATAAATGAAATACATCTTTCAACTTTTATTCAAAGATACAATTAACCAAATGTAATAAAGTTTACAAATCAATAAAATGAACTCGATCAGTCAACTACAACAAGCGACATATACTCCTTTTTAGATATAGCAGTCTCCATGATCGTTATGGGATCAATCTTTACAATATGTTTCAGATCAATCTCTCCATCACATTCCAAGAATATTTTTAACAAATTCTTGGAAAAGCCACTTACCAAAGCCACTCCTTTCTTGTTTCCAAGCACAGGCGTTGACCTCGAATCCCTAAGGTTCCAAAACACTATCTCCGGCACAGCTTCTCCATACCCTTTCTCTCTGTACTTGCTCACTATCACCTCATAATCCGTTTGCCAACCATCATCCTCCTCCTCCTCCTCCTCCTCATCATCATCATCAGAACTATACGAAGACCTTCCCCTGCATCTGTTATTATACGAAGAGGTTGAGGTCGAAGTCGACGCTTCATCAAACTCCATGTCACTGAAGACAAACACTCTCTTGATCATCTGTTCCGGCTTCAGCTTCCCTTGCACGGCAACTTCAAGAATCAAATCAAACACTTTTTGAAAATCAGTGTTCATATCCCATTGCATATTCCTCACAAACTCTGTTTTTGATCTCAAATCGTCTCCTTCGACCAAATGGAGTTCAGGGTTTTCGCTGAACGTTATAAGCTTTCCTCTCCATGGCTCTTCTGATAGCTCCGAGACTAGCAAACCAAGCGCCACTGAGACCTCCATTGGTTCACCATGCATAGAACCCGAAACATCACAGATAGCCATGCAATTCGACAAAGAACCTTTTGCTTTAAGGTCATCAACCATTCGTTTCCATTGCAGCTCAGCGACCTGTCCACCGTCTCTGCCGTTTAACTCTCTGATTATCTCGTGAGGCAACACAGCACCGGCTGCTACCTTAGTTTTACCCGTCAACGCATCTTCAAGATATTGCTGAAACCTCTCTGCGTCGTGTTTCAAGAAAAACTCCTTGTAAGAGTTCATCGCCACTGATGCAACACGGTTGTAAGGTAGAGATTCCCAATCTCTTGCTCCCATGTATACTTCAGGGAGTTGCAGAGTCTTCCTTAGAGGAACAAGAACTTGTTTCCTTAGCCGATCACGAACTCTGTACGCATAGTGAGCTTCTTCCACGCCTTCGTACTCCGGGAATGATTCACGTGGAAACATCTTCCTAGCAATGCTCTCACAGAGAAGAGTTGCTTTGTCGAACGATGAATCAAGCGATGGACACCATTTAGCCGCTAGAGAGATTTTGTTTGGCTTGCCTGATGTCAAAAACTCATTATCTCTCCTTAGTTGATTTGCGAACAGCTCGGAGACACATTTGTGGAGAAACCTATAGTTTGCATCCGTAGAATATCTTCTCAAAGCATCATTCCCCATTGAAACCTTCTTTTCCTTGCGCGCCAAGCTTGCTTTGGCTTTCTCCTCTTGGTTCTTCTTCTCTGCGTTCGCTACCCTAAACTCCCTCGTGGATGCGGGCCTTGTTATAACCACACGGTGACCCCTTCCACGACCCCTTCCACGACCCCTACCAAAACCACGAACACTTCTAGAGAGTTGGAGAGAGAATCGGGCTCTTCTACGAGCATATGCTTCCGCTATTGTCTTGAGCCATTCCGAATTCTGGATATCTCGGATTTCAGATCCTTTTAGGATCCGGTAAAGAATCTCAGGAAAATCTTTAAAATATCCAAATTTGGAGAGGGACTCGAGGTTACAAGCTAGGGTTTTGGGATGGTGATCGTGGAGCCACAACGCTGCCGTGTAAAACCCTTCCTTGTCAGACTTTCCAGTGCCACGGACTCCACGAAGGTTACAGACAAGCTTGAGAGTGGTTAAGGCATCATGGTCCCAAGCCTCTTGTAGCCTCTGCTCGAGAGATGTCTTGGGCGTGGAAGGAACAACGTGGAAGAAGAAGTCGAGGCAAGGGTTTCCTGAGGAGAGGTACGTGGCGGATCCATTCTCGGTGTAGCCCATGGGATATTTGTTCCGAGGTACTTTATGTGGTTTAACAAGTTTCACCGGCCTAACCGGTCGAATATATCTAACCGGTCTAACAGGTTTGGCGATGGTTTTGGTTGGTTTCTTGACTTTTGAGACCTTTGCGACGCTGGGACGGCAAGTGTTGATGTTTTTGAGGAGAGCAGCGAGGTACGTGGTTGGTCTCTCCTCGGTCTGACCCATCGGTGGTGAAGTGTTGACAACGTTTGAGACAATTGCGTCCGTGACTGGATCGCTGGAACCCGAAGCCGTGATGGGAGCGTTGGAGTCTCCGATCTTAGCTGAACCAGGCAATTGAGAAGCCATAGTTACTTAGAGATATAAAAAGCACAAGAGAAGATGAAAGATGAAGAACACAAATCTATCGAGAGAAAGAAGAGTGTTTAGCGATATTGATTCAGCGAAGGATGCACCTAATATTTATACAAATACATTTGCACCGTACCGACTTAACCTAGCTAGCTAGGGTAGTTTCTATGTTAATAAAAAAGAAAAAAGAAAGAAAGAAGCGAGAATATCGGAGATGATCACAAAACTTGTATCAGTAGCTTGGGGATCAAGTTCTCTTGAAAGACTTAAATGCGTTTTATATTAGTCAAATTTAATTGGCCTAAAAGATCGTCTTTCCCGTGGAGCAAATCCAACAACAATCATAAAAGTCTCATAAATTAAAAAATCTGTTATTTTCTAAAATGGAGAATAATGTTTATTTGATATATTAAATTAAATTAGAAAAAAAAATAAAAAGCACTGTAAATAGTTCTATATACAATATAGTAGACTAAAATATGAAATCTGTTATATTATTATAGTGTTTATATATAAATTAAATCAGAAAATAAATAATAATTTATTGATTTCATGTTCATGAATGCTTTTATAATTTTTAACATGATTAAAATTTTTGAAAAGATATTAATATATTTTAATTTAAAGCATGATTTTATTTTTCATTTAAATAATGGAGAGTTAATGCATAATTTTCTTTTTTAATTACAAAAAAAAAAAAAATAGATGTAGCATATGTGTGAAGGGGTGAAACTCTATTAAAAAAAAAGTCTTTCGACTTACACGTATTAGATATTGTATTTTGGTTGGGAGGGGGCAACAATGTTTTTTCACCATTTATTCAAATGGAAAGAAAATTACAACCGGACTAATTGTGCATGCACAAATCCGTTCACATCCTCATACAACAACGGAATAACACAATCCGATTGACACCTCTAAATAAATGAAAATCCAAAAGTAAACTAAAAACATAGTTTGATCGTCCATTAGCCTCCTTATACACACGTGAAATACAGACTATCCAGTTTATATTTTGATAAAAACTTTTATATCATTTATGTATCCATAATGACCACTGACTAGTGCTAAGGTTATTATTGCATGATTAAACAAAAAATTTGCTTATTTGTTAGTCAAAAGTTTTATCGTGAAACAACGTTGATTTAAGTTAATTCAGCTTAACAATACATTATACCGAACAACCAATTATTCTAAACTTAGAATTAAGAGAGTATCTGAACTTGTCTACTCCTCATTCGACGGCATACAAATAATTTGGCCAGGTAGCTCTAACTAGCTAGCAAAAGTAGTCTCGTCTCATATTCTTGAGAAAATATATATGGCTTGGATTTTCACTTCTATTTTTCAACATTAACCTGAAATAAGTATTTTAATTATACGTTCACTAGTTTTAATTTTTTTTTTTCGAATTAACTGGGCCAAGCTCACTCGTAACAATTCATAGCACTCTCGTCCATTTTGAAATTCTAAATGTAACAATGTATTAGGGTTATTGTTTGTAAATTTAAAACTAATCTTTTTGGTTCTTCTTTTGTAAATTTCAAGAAGCATATTTGATATTCAACAAAAATTGTAACATGTAATAAACATAAGAAAAATCCAAGGCCGTTAACAAGAAAAAAAAAATACAATATACACGAGAAAAGAAAGAAAGAGAAGAAAAGTGGAACATCATAAAGCAAATGATTGATGGCATATAATTCAACAACAAGGAAATGATACGATTATAATTATCAAATCATCACTTTATAGCTTTTGTTTTTTTTCTTCTATTACACTGTGTTTTGATAAGACAAAAAGCCATGTTAGGAAGCGATTCTTGTCTAATTATTTTGCTTCTTCTCTTCCACAGTCCCATGTCGTTCAACCCAACGAAAAGAAAAAGCTGCTCCAATATATATGAAAAAGGCAATTCAAATAAAGATAATGGGGCTTCACACTTGTGTGTCGTCGAATCGTATAACCTATGGTTATGTTTGAATACATCGGAGGGTCCATAGTAACATGAATTATTGTTTATTATAATTTAAAGATTGTTATTACTTTTTCCGGTAGAAAAGAAAACTACTTTAGACAATTGATATCGGATATAGCTGTTTTGCATTTTCTTTTCAAGATTTATATTCAGAAAGGAGACAGTTTTGTCCGGACAAAACAAAAGATCGAACAATTATTTTGAGAAATGCCTCGAGATCTTCAATGTCATTCACTTAGTGATACAAATAGGGTCTTTTTGGTTCGTGGTCCAAGTTTTATAATGATTAAACTATCATTAGATAAATCTAGCAAAAGGGGTTATATAGGAATCTAATGCTTTGTGGAGGAAATATAGAGGTGGCTACATACATGTGAACAGTTAAGAGTATATATCTCTTCTTTACAACTCTAACTTCAAAACTTAAAAGATGGAGAAAGCAATATTAAGACGAACAAAAGTTTTAAAAAGGAAATGGAAGGGTACCAAAATAGATCGATCCAAAGATATATATACCAAATCCATGATAATTCATAGCCCCAAAAAAAAAAAGAAAAAAATTCCATAAGAAGTAAGCTTCTCTATAATCTCCATCGATCAGAAGCTTTACCAATATACATATAATATTGATCTATAATAACTTATCTTCCAAGCTCACCTGTAAAACCAGATGTACCAAACTCACTCACCCCTAGTTGGAAATAGGGTTTGGACCACTAGGAACCTCATGAGCATCATTCCCAAACTCTCTCCTTCTAGAAGTACGGCTGCGTCGTGTGCGAGCCTTAGGACGTAGATCCATTGTTGATGAAGCGGAAACTGAAGGTTCAAGAAGAACCCTCTTGAAGGGAGCAGCCGTAGATGTGAACTGAGGTCGACGGGTCACGGGGATTGTAAAGCTAGCAAAGAGTAAGAGAGATAAGAAGATGAGGAGAAGGAGAAGAGTATGAGAATGTGATGATTTGGTATTGGTTTGGTCATTTGATGTTGCCATGCAATTTAGAAAAAGAAATAACCACCCCCCCAAGATCCCAAGAGGGTTCAATATCCATTAACCAGCTACGAAACAACTTGAGAGCTGGTCAGAGCCGCGAGGTCAGAAGAAGTAAGATGAAACAAAAGAGAGAGAGAGAGGTGTAGTAACCAAGAAGAAGAATGAGCTTGAGATAAAGATAAAGAAGAGAGAGAGAAAGAGAAAGAGAGGTTTTCAAATATTCACACTCGTGAATATTTGATTGATAAAGTTATGAAACCAAAACAAACGTAAGCTAAAATTTTAAAGATGTATGAAAGAATAGTCACAAGGTTTATAATTTTACCAAAAGCACCTCTCTCTGTGCCTGGAGTGAATGGACATATATGGTGAATTCAGGACTAGGGTTTGAATAACGCTAGACAAAACATTTTCCTAATTTTTTTTTCTTTTGGAAATTGATATTACCTTTTTAGCCCCTGAGAAGACATAGAATTGTCGGTAGGCCTGCCACTGTGGAACGAACAAATCTCATGGAAATAGAACAAAGAGTGTAATGGGTAGTTGTGTCATTTTATGAGATTTTATCAAACGAATCTTTAAAAGCTTAGACAAAAAAGCAAAGGTGATAGGAAAAAAAATAAAAATCAAAGGAGAGGAGGTGGTAGAAAGCAAAGTTCTTTATCTTCTTTTAATTTTCCATTTTCTTTTCATATTCTCTTTTCTCAAGAAATTGTTTCTTTGACTAAGCTGATAATACACCAATTGTATATCAACGTGTATCAAATACTAGTCAAAGTAGAGAAATTATTGTATAATTAAACTATACTTATTTCCCATTATGTATATGAAAGTCAAATTATACCCTATTTGTTTATACTATGATATATGCCTGACTTTATTACTTTAATTATGCTATTGTTATACATCAAAATAACCGAGAATGCTATATAAAGACTTCAGGTATATGTCTTACATATGTATATCAGGTCAAGATCATCGAAATAGAACATAATGAATTGACACAAAATATAAATAAATGAGGACAGTAAATAATGCTATTGTTGTTTTTACTATGAATGATCGAGATTGCTATATAAAGACTTCGGGTATATGTTAATATGTATCATACATGTACATCAGGTCAAGATCATCGAAATACAACATAATGAATTGACACAAAATAGAAAAAAACGAGGATATATATAGAAGTAAAAAAAGAAAATGGAATTTTATTTTTGGCTATTTGCATAGTGTTGTTTTACACTGTCAATATAACATTGATACATATATACATGTATGCTGTTTTACACCATTACTTCTTTTTTACACTATTACTTCTTGTATACGTTTTGGTAAAAGTGTGTATGATCTCTCATACATTAGCTCGAGAACATTGCATATAATTTTCACAAGATTGAATATAAGAGTAAGCGTCTAAAACAAAAAGGGCGGTGCGGTGCGGTGATGCGCAGGCCATTAGTGTATATTGGAAGAATCAATTCATCTTTCGTTCACTAAAAATGTTTAGGGAAGATATATAAACAATAATAATAATAATGTTCGATTTGGTAAGAGATTGAAATCAATAAAGCAAATATTGAATAATAATAATATTCGAGAGGAGGAGACTGTGCTCTGTGCATGTCTCCGTTACGTGGATTGCATGGGGTCCCTTCACTTTCTCGGAATTATATCAACGAGAACGATTGTACGTAGTCGTCGTCTTTTTCGTCATTTTTTATTTCTCTTTTTTTTTCTTTTCTTTACTTGTTAAATGGTTTTGTTTGTTGCTATGCCATTCACATTGACAACTACTGACAAGATGCCAATATAACACGGCCGTATACATATAAGGTTAATTAACATGCAATTATGAAGGGAAAATGTTCATTTGGTAACCCAAAAGTAAATTTTTTTGTAGATGTAAAACCTAACTAAAGAGTAGTATTAACATAGTGTATTATAGAGATAAATATAAAGAGTAGTGAGAACTTGTATATAGAGAAGAGGAATACTGATTGTATTAAAAACATGTGTGCAGTATAGAGACTCTAATCAGTTTTATATATGTATTTATGATGTGTGTATTTGACTTTCGCAACAAGATCTTACTTTGAGACAACGTCTTTATATTTGACTTTCCTAGCTAACAAGAAAAATATATAATTAGAAAATTAACAAAGATAAAACTTTTCAAAACTAGCTTTAACCAAAAAAATGTTTTTCTTTTAAAAAACCTTTCAGAAATAAAGCTCAAGTCAATACACATAATATCAGAGTAATTATTCTGAAACGATGCAACTCGTCAGATGTATTGTCATATATAATTTGGGCTTGACTAGATCGCCTTTCTAAAGTCTCTGCACATGCTGGTTCGAGTTATAGCTAGATATGTTCTTTAGGTTATTACATGATAAATTTGTCGTTTTAAACTATCTTTGATTAGTGTAAAATACATATTATGGATGGCGATATATTTAGAAATCCTTTCACTAATATATAGTTGTATATTTGAAACTTTAAGACATAGATATATCATATATGTGTATGCAAGCGTGCACGTACGTAAAGATTGTTGTAACTTGTAAAGATGAGGCCACCACCAAATGGGTGATATCGATAAGTCATATTTTGCTTCAACATTTAGCGAAAGGCATGAAGAGCTTAAAGATTGGTCCTTATTTAGACAACACTTTTTTCTATCTTTACTTTCTTTTCTTTTTTTTATTTCCAACTTTTATTTTTACTTTTTAACTCCAAAAGCTTTACGCCTATTTTATTTCCACCATGTATCTTCGAAGATTTTATTTATTTTCTTTGTTTCTATCCACCAATATTTTTCGTTACAATCAAGTCACTTTAAAGTTGTTTGATTTGGCTCTTTGAAAAAACCGTCCACACTAGAAAATCTTTGGGGCCATCGGATGACTCGCACCAAGAAATAACAACTACACCAAAGAAGTTACTTCCTTAATTAAAGAACTAAATTTATGATATTATGTTATTTGTTTTTTTCCTTAATTTGAACTATTAAGGAGGAGAAATTAGAGGCAAAGATAAAGGCTTTTTCTCTAACAGTGAAGGACATGTTTACGTCGTGAACAAAAGGACATAATTTATATGATTTTGTAGTGTAGCTTTCACCAGTCAATTTGAAAAAATGTTAGGGAAAAAATCTATACTATTAATTGGGAAGGACAACTTGAAGCCAAACACCCCCCAATTTTAAAAATAAATTTCATGAAAATAAAACCAGTTGCCAAACAGAATTAATGACAGCAAAAAAAAAAAATAAAAAAAAATAAAAACAATATATATTTATGGAATTCATAATAATTTTTTACCATAAAAAATGGACAATTAAATTCAAAACTAAATATATGTAAACAAATATATTTCGAATATACATAAACATATTTATTATTAATTTAATATTTTAATATAATTTCGAAATTAATAATTTATATAGAATGAAATCTAATAAAACAAAATCATCATATATCTAAAATAACAAAGATAACATTTTTTTTGAAAAATGAAAAACGATAAAAAAAATATGTTAGCATATGAAATAATCAACTAATCAAATTCTACATAGTATATATACATAACTGATCATATCATAAAATTTTAAAAAATTATATAATTTTAAAATTTAAATAAAATTTAAATAAATCAATAATTAAATATTTGTTTGCTAAAATCATGCGAATAAACATTCTAGATCACATAAATTTCTTATTTTCACATAAAAATATTCATATTCAAAAATCAATCTAGCAAGTATAGCACAAATGATATCTACAAAATTTACCATTAATTCAATTAGTTAATAATTTTTATTTTGTCAAACCGTTAGTTAATGATTATTCTAAACTTTTTTTTTTCTTATTAATTTCACACAATCTTAACAAAATAAATCTTCATCCATTGGCAATTTGCATATCATTACTATTATCAAATATTAAATAATTTTTTATCAAATCA